TGCCAATATGGCGATATAATCCCTTTTTGAGCAATTCCCTACCGTGCATGATACTCCTCCATGCATATGATGGGCGTGTCCCCCTTCCACACTCAAGAAAATTACCATTTTTGAAATATTTACCTTTTAAAATTCTAGAAACTAAAGATTCGGGATTATGCAAGATTCGCCAAGCTTGTTTCCCAAGCAAAGCTTGATTGAAACGACCAATGTCATGAAACCCAAGACCCCCATGTTCCTTGGGTTTACAAAAATTTTCCCACGAAACCCATGAGATCTTTCTTTTTCTATCCCCACTACTCCACCAAAACTCAATAACCGCACTCGTAATTCTTTCGCAAAGACCTTTTGGTAACCGAAAAACTGACATTGCATATATTGGAAGAGCTAAAGCAACCGATTTTATTAACACTTCCTTGACACCCATCGAAAGAGTCTTAGAATACCACCCTTGTAACCGTCCTTCGAGTTTTTCTTTAATAAAATTTAAGAGATCTTTTTCCGACCCTTGAAAACACTCAGGGAGGCCAAGATATGAACCCTCTCCACCTTCCTTTTCTATACCCAAAACCTCTTTTATAGCATTTTTGGTCCTGTCAGCAATGTTTTTCCCAAAAATGATGGAAGACTTTAAAGGGTTTATCATTTGGCCAGACGCATCTCCATAAAATTTTAACCCTTTCATAATTTCTTCACTATCCCTGAGGGAGGCTTCACACAACAAAAAGCTATCATCAGCAAACAACAAATGGTGAACCGAAGGGCTCCCCGTAGCTAACTTGATACCATGTAATTTACCTTGTGCCTCCGCTCGATTTAACACATGAACTAAAGCTTCGGCACATAGAATGAAAAGATAAGGTGATAAAGGATCCCCCTGACGAATTCCCCGTTCTGGTTTGATGAAGCCATGGGAGCGACCATTAAGTAACACCGAAAAAGTAACCGTAGTGATACATGACATTATCCAAACGACCTATTTACGATCAAATCCCATTTTTTCTAATAAAACTTCAAGAAAGTTCCATTCAACACGGTCATAGGCCTTTGACATATCAGTCTTAATAGCCATACTTTCTTTACCAATTTTATCAGTGGTTCGCAGTCCATGTACCAATTCATGCACTATGATGAAATTATCTGTAATTAATCTGCCCCCCACAAAAGCTCCTTGAGTCTCTGATATTATATCAGGCAGAACCCCCTTTAAACGATCACAAAGAATACGAGAGATTATTTTATATTGTACACTGCAAAGACTAATGGGCCGCATATCATTCATTTCCGTTGGATGTAAAATTTTAGGTAACAAAAATAACTGTGTATGATTCCACCCAGCAGGAAGGCTGCCTGTTTTAAAAAAACCTTGAACCTCATCAATAATTTTCTGCCCTACAATATGCCAGTATTTTTGGTAGAAAAAACAAGTAAGACCATCTTCTCCAGGGGCACTACTACCTTTAATACCAAATGCTGCTTTCTTAATTTCCTCTGGAGAGACCTCACTGGTTAGAACCATGTTCATCTCTGGGGTAACTCTACTAGCAAAACCCTCAAACAGAGTTTCTAAATCATTCGGGTTGGAGCTTGTAAACAAATCTCTAAAATATTCTGTAGCGATATGTCCTTTAGATCCCTCAGAATAATTTTCATTTCAAAAAATATCCTTTAACATTAGAATCTTGTTTCTCATTTTTTTCCCTTTAACCACATTATGAAAATACGTAGTGTTTCTATCCCCTTCACGTAACCATTCTTCTCTACTCTTTTGCCTCCAAAAGATTTCCTCCTCCCTATATGCCGTAGCTAAATCCTGTCTTAACAGTCTCATTAAACCGAGAATGGGAAATTGCTTCGAGCTTTCTCTGTCTAATTCTGACTGCAACCGATCTATTCTTGATTTAGAATTCCAGTCATTAATCCTTTTAAGCTTGGATAATTCGGATCGACACCGGGCAATACGATCAAGAATACTTAGATTGGGATGATCATTCTCATCATCCCACCCACGAAAAATGGCTTCCTCTACCCCTCTTTTACCATACATACGTCTATCAAAATAAAACCTTCCCCTTTGTAAATTCTCAGGTTCTAGGGCAAACTCTACACATAAAGGTCGATGGTCAGAAGGCCACATACTCATATAATCAGTAGAAGATCGAGGAAATAGACGAAACCATTCATCATTCCCAAAACTCCTATCTAGGCGACATTGTACCCAATGGTGGTCCCTCATACCTGCCCAAGAGAGGATATTTCCCGTGGATCTCAGCTCCCTAATTTTACATGCTTCAGCCATGTTCCGAAAATCGAAAAAGGTGGACTCCTCTCTACTAGGGCCACCCAACTTTTCATCATTATTCATTAACTCATTAAAATCCCTCACCAAAACCCACGCATCATCTCTAACCACACCAATGTCCGTTAATTTATCCCAAACATATCGTCTTTTTCCTCTTACTGGATCACCATATACACATGAAAGGAAGAAGATAAGTGATCCCATTGTTACTTTTAGATCAATAATTCTATTATTACTATATAAAATTTCCACTGCATAACAACCTTTCCACATTAAAGCTAAACCACCACTACGACCAATAGGATCTACCGTGTGTAGACAATCATACCCCAAACTTGATTTTAAAGCATCCATATAAGCAGTCTTTTGCTTAGTCTCCATAAGAAATATAAAGTCCAGAAAATACTGCTGTCGTAAATCCCGTATCCGTTGAACCGTATCCGAACTACCAGCACCCCTACAATTCTAACTCAAAATACTCATAAAAATATATTTTTAAGGGTGCTCCATAGAGCTCATTGGAATAAGGTTTAATGAGACCCAATTTGTTAATTTTTTATCCTCCATAGTAAAACCCAATAAATTGACAAGAAAGTGTCTACCACCGAAAATTTGATGCCATTGTACATTTCTCATTGCAAGACATAAATAACAGTACCATAAACCATCATAACCATATATAGACCAGCTATAAATCTTATAGCATAAAATTACTAGTATGAAAAATATGGTAAAGTGACTAGGCCTCTCCTTGTGGTAATGTACTAAGATCATATACATAACCATATATAAGCTTACATAATGAGCAGGGGCTCTTGTATTAACCATAATAAGGTCCTTGTAACCATGATACACATGACCAGACAGAGATTCTATGTTTTGAAAATATGATACCGATCGCCTAATAAGCCGTTGGTAACTATATATATATTTTATTCTCACATAATGGATAAATACTTGAATTTGTTTTAAAAAACCCACCAACGTTTTCCAGAGTTGTAGATAGTACATCCCACTCCTCCTCATTACTATCATTTCACCTATCTGCCATATCACACTCTGCCATATCCCAGTCTGCCTTATCACAATATCACGTCTCCATCCCTTTACCGTGTGAACCAAAACTCTATCTGTCTGGTTTGAAGAGACCAAACAGAGAATTTGATACATATTAAAGAACCCGGACGGAAAGAACTCATAAAATCCCTCATGATAGTCAAGAATCTCGAACATTCTCATTATTAGTACTCATGCGTGTTGAAAACTGAGACCATAGAAAACCTTATATGAACCTGCAGGAAAGATCAAAAAACAAAGCTTAAGAAAGCTTAACAAAATAACAAACCCATATAGATAACCAGATAAACACATCCAGCAATGCCAACTATAGATTCCATCTGTTTTCCAATTTTTGAAAACGGTTATGTAACCAACACGCTTCCAGGCTTTTGTCTTTATACTCAGCCAAGTATCCGATAACCTTGCTTCATGTTGTACATAAACCTTTTTCCTCATGAACCTGTAGTCAATTAAGTTATGAAATATAATACCAAACACATTCCAAATTAATGCCCATTCAAAATACAATCGTATCGTAGATACTAGCCACACGCCCTTTACCATTTTAAATCCTAATCTCAGTTATTGACTTAGAATGAGTAACCAATTAAAATGCTGCAATAAAATATAACCAACATTACCTATCTTAAGCCAGAGCCAGGAAATTTTAAACCTCAATACGTCAGAACAAAACTCATAGGAACAGTCACATAATAATGCAGCTAAACCATAGTGAGTGAAAGAGGAGAATAAATATATACTTTGTAAACATCGAGTAAACCATAATATTCTCCAAGGCCAAGACACATTAAGGAGGCCAAACACCACCCTTTCACCTCGCGTATCACAACACACCCACAGCACCGTAAAACACCATACCAAACAAACACCATTAAGCCACATCACACTTGAAACCAAAGCACATAACCCGTGAATAAAGTAATTGTTTTGCATAAGTCTAAGAAAACCAACATGCAAAACATTCCAGTTCAGATTCCTAACATTGTACACCAATCTTGACAGCAGATTAGTAAACCCATGTAGCAGAAACCAAACCAGAGACCAGAACCCGATCATTTTATTTAAAACAGAGAAACAAAAAACAAACTGAATAACAAAATAAAACAGTATCAGACCATGATACCAGCTCCACCACAACCAATGAAAAAAAGAAAAGCTTAACGGCTATGGATTTTATAAAATCAAACCTTTGATTTGGGAAACTCATCATCCAGACACCCAACTGTAATCCATTAACCTCCACAAAAACTATCTCCCACTCAATTCCAGATCTCGTTATGAAGGAAACTTGAGAAGAAAGGAGATCCCGAAATTCATCGTGACGATGAAACTTGTCTTCGGTCGACGAAAAACGCCTGTTGACCAAACTCACTCTCGTCATGAGAGGACCACCAGAAACCCCAATCAAAACCGAATTGACAGTACAACCATCGAAAGCCCTAAGGAATTTACTCATTCTCAAAAGCTCTTTATTTCGTAAATGGTCTCTCAAGTTAGACTAGCACTATCAACTTGAAAGATTACAACAATACGAGGAACAAACAAGAGATCACAAGTCATTTTCTTCAGTAACCACTCATGAGTTTTACAAACACATCATAATATACTATATGATGAATCAATCGGAAACAGCTAAACAATGCAGAAAACGAAACGAAAAGGGTAATGTACCCACAACACCAAACCAATCGATCGTCCCACAAATCCTGTCTCCAGCTCTATGCAGTGAGACTATCGCACACTGAACAACCTCGCTAACGGTGAAATCCTCTTCAGTTTTAAAACACTGATAGAAAACCGCTAGCTTTCCGTCGTGTTCCGCCATCTCCTTTACAGAAAAGGTTGAGAGTTTCTTCAGTCTCTTCCCATTACGACCCACCAGTCTTCTCCACACGTTACGCTTCGTATCAAACCACATCAACCCAGTCCAGTTAAAGAAAGCAAAGAGAACATCATCCACCACACACACGCAATAAACCGTATCATTTAACTTATACTTTCGTCCACCTTCCGAGAGTCTCTTGGTTACCATCTTAACCATCCTTTCTCCTTCACCTTCTCTCGGATTGTACACATGGATCTCGTCTTTCTCCACAATGTAAACCTTCCCCTCCACCGAGGCACCACACCGATAGGATTTACCGGCGTTTTCAAGCCCCGCAAGCTCCCAAGTTTCCGACTTTACATCAAAAACTTCAACTTGGAGAAACCCTTCACCTCCGATAACGTATATCTTCCCGTCGATTACTCCCACAGCTGCATCGAATTGTTCTCGAGGCACGCTCATGCTTGGCCCCTGAGTCATGGTTTCAGATCGTGTATCAAGGATCCATAGATCCCTGGAAGGTTCTCCTCTAGGTCCACCAATGAAGTAGACCTTCGACCCCACTGCGACGGTTAAAGAACCGTACTTGTTGTGAGATAACAAACTAAGTCCCACATTGGAGAATTAGACAAGGAGTGTCTAATATATAAAGAGAAGTCCAACTCTAATAGTTCGAGGCCTTTTGGGATGGAAACCAAAAGTAAATCCATGCGGGCTTATCTATTAGGCCCAAAGTGGACAATATCGTACTAATATAAAAATATAGAGTTGGACATGGACTTTCACAAANTAACAAACTAAGTCCCACATTGGAGAATTAGACAAGGAGTGTCTAATATATAAAGAGAAGTCCAACTCTAATAGTTCGAGGCCTTTTGGGATGGAAACCAAAAGTAAATCCATGCGGGCTTATCTATTAGGCCCAAAGTGGACAATATCGTACTAATATAAAAATATAGAGTTGGACATGGACTTTCACAAACCCAACACTTGTGAGAAGGGAAGGGGGTTGGGTTCGGAACTAACCTATACTCCTTCGTCGTCTTTGATGTTTTTGTTTCCTCGTTGAGAGTAAACCAGTGGAAGGTGGAGTCGCTGTGGTTGTATTTTTCATGGAAACATACATAGAGAGACTTCTTGGATCGCAACTTATTGAGCTGAGGCGAGCGAAGAAGGGCTCTTAGGTTTCTTGAGACCCAAGAAAGGCTTAGGTGACAGCTTCTTGGGACCAAGGCCAAGCATGTCAGAAGGATGTCATCAGGTAATGAAGAAAGCGACGGTGGCGGCGGAGGATGATGGATTGTGTGTTTTTCCGGTGGCTCGATGGCGTTGGAATTGGACATTCTTTTTCTTGCGCTCTTTCTTGCGGACGTTTCAACAGGGAGCGATTGAAAGCTCGGTTTAGAGTTAAGAACTTAAAAGATGATGAAATCGAACAACACACCTAAAGCGGCAAGATGTTTATGATAAACAGCAAGTTTTTTTCTTTTTACCTGAAAATGTTACAACGTGCCTACGAAAAGTGTGATAAGAAACGGCACGTTGGGCGAGAAACAACAAGATGTTCATTTGTTACAATCGCTACAGCATACTCGGGCTTACTGAATTAGGAGTTTGAAAAAGATTTAGGTGATGATTGTTTGTTTAGTTTCTGAATTTAGATTTTGGCTTATAGTTTTTGGATTTTAGGTTTTGATTTAGCAGTACATTTTAGTTTTTAGAAAAACATGAAGGGTGAGTTTAGATTTTGGTTTCAGTTTTTGGTTTTTATTTTTAAAATAATAAGTGAAAATGTTATTAATAATAAAATATTTATTCTAAAAATAATAAAATATAAAATGTTATTATCATGGAATACACATAAAATTCTTACATAATAAAAACAGCAAATAAAAAAAATTCTATGTTTAACTTTAAACATGCACTTAAAAAACTAATAACTTAAAATATTATTATAAGTAAAAATAATTGTTAAAGAAAAAAAATTGACTATCGCTTCATTATTAGATAAAACATTATTTAACTGTAATAGTTTTAGTAAAATTAAGCTGTATCATAAATATTATTCTTTTTTTTTAATTTGACTGTAATTAATTTTATTAGAAATATTAAAATTATAATTAACAAGTTCCTTAAAATTCTACAAAAAGAAAAAATAATTTTAATAATACATGTTATTTTATAGTTTAGAATTTAAATTTAAATGATTGAAAAATATTTGTTGATTCTTAATAATTTGGAATAGTTACTATTTTATTACCAATCTTTTTTATTTATTATTTATGATATATCAATGCACAATTATATAAATATTAATATTTAATAAAAGATTTAAAAAAAATCACGTACACTGCCTAGTAAATCAGAAAAATGTGGTTTTGTTTTTGTTAAGAGATAGGTAGTTGTTTTCAAAATCTGGTTTCTCTAAATTTTAGGAAATCTACTTTACAAAAATCTTGATTAGTATAAAAATAGTTTTTAGAAACTACAAACAAGCAACCTCTTAGAGGATTTTGGATTTGGTGGAGCTTAGTTGAGTTTAGTTAAATTTGAAGGATTTTGATGGAACTTTTGACGGGGTTTTGGTAGGATTCTTCTTTTTTATTAAAAAAAAAAATAGATTCAGTAAGATCTTTCTTTAACATACGAAAATATAGTAAAATAACCATTAAAAATACATATAAAATATCCGGGTAATCTCATTGGAAACATAATTAGTGTAACCGTTGGTACCAAGCAACTGTCTAGTTTTGGCTGGATGGTCAGCAGCTCCCATCTGAGTAGGCTCTTTCTTGAAAAAACTAAGCTTAGAGCCATAATATTGTTCGTCGATGAAATGGACTATCACACGGCTCTAGTTCCCAGCTTTTATCAAACAAACACACAATCTTTGGGACTGTTGTAACCAACATGAGTTTCTTAATCACCAGACCGAAACCCTGTCCATATAGTCTTCACTAAGTTTTCTACCCTCTTCAACCAAGCACTCTTAAGAAGAGACGAGCACTTAAGGGAATGATGCCAGATCAGAGAGGAGCTAACCAAATGATTCATGCCTTGTTTCAGCTCAACTGTTACTATTAAGCTCTTAAGCTCTTTCTTTTTTGTACGTGTACGCTCTTTTCTTAACACTCTCACAAATAAAACAACAAAATAACAAAATGTGCTTACTCTAATGTTAAATTCCTTTCTTGTCTGCAGAGGTAAGAACCAAGTAGGATACAAATCAAAAGAACAAAAACAATAGTCATATAGAGAGAGCAATGGCTCTTTGTCCCAGCAAAAGCCTCAACGTGGAATAGAACACCGATGATAAGAATCTTATGAACAACACCCTGAAGCAAACCCAAAAAATGTAAGCCTTTCTAATAATCTCAAGTATTTTCTGATAAATGCTATATTGACGAAATCCATATTTTTCAATAGGGGGTGATTTAATAAGGTTTTTATAAATGTAATATCCAATAACTTTGGATTTGTAAGAATTTTTACAAATACCATATCCAATAAGAGAGAATTTAAGAAAAACCTGAAATTTTATGAAATCCCTAGTCTAATAAGTCCTAGTGAGAAGAAACAATTTTATGAGATCCCTAGCCAAACTATTATATATTTTTTTCTGGGTAGAATTGGTCTTAGGTATTTCAAGGTCATAAGTCCAAAGTATATAAAATGGCTGAAAATAACATATAACTTTTCATATAATGGACATTGAATCTGTGTTCGATCGCGTGGATCAAGACTAACCACTAGACAATTTTTAGAAATTTGTGACCAGTTAAAGACTTATAAAAATAGCGGCCTGAAGCCGGAAGCATGGGCTTCTTTCACTTGGGTCTGGGCCGCCTATGTGTTTGAGTTTGTTTCATGTGTGTTCTTCGTATAAACAAAAATCTCCAAATCAGAACAAAGAAGTTTTTGTATCATTGTTAACTGATTGTTCTTTTGTTTATTAAAGGATCTAAATAAGGATGTGGATGATTGTGATGATAAGCTGAAGAATTGGTCTTAGATATTAAGAGTACTATTAGATTAGATATTAAGAGTGCTATTAGATTCTGACCCACGTTAAAATGCGGATTATATTTAAATAACTTTATCAGTCGATAAAAATAAGACTGTAATTTAATAGATTAGATATGAAAAAAAATAAAATCAATTTGTTGTTAATAAAATTTTCTGTATTAAACTAAACTACTAATTTAGATATTATATAGCTAATTATAAATATTAAATTGGGTATTAAATTAAACTACTAATATAGATATTAGCTAGTCTATACTATTAAAAGAGAAGGAGTTTAAATAAATCTAGGGAGAATTTCAATTATACCACTTTGGTGGTACCACTTTTCATGTTTACCATCAAGAAATGAACATTTTCAAAAATACACATTTTATTAAAGAATAAAACACTCTTATATACTTGTTCTTTATATATATACATAAAATAAATATTAAATAAAATATTAACCCTAAACCCTAAAGCATCAATTCTAAACTCTAGACCCTAAAAAGTAAACCCTAAACCCTAAAAATCAACCTTAAACCCTAAAATATCAATTCTAAACCTTAAACTCTAAACTCTAAACCCTAAAAAGTAAACCCTAAACCCTAAAAAATCAACACTAAATCCTAAACTATCAATCGTAAACCCAAAACCCTAAACACTAAATTCTAATCGTATTTTGACTATTGAAATTTTAATGGTAAAGTTGGTTAGTGTAAAGTTGAAAAGTGGTATCTTGAAAGTGTTATTTCTGACAATTTCCCATAAATCTACCTATGAAAATTGTTTAGACCCTTTCATTAGACTATTTTTTTCTATTATTTCTCCAACAATACTGTGTAATAATATTATATCATATAATTTACCTTATACTTTTCTAACAATACATTAGTCAATATCTTGTTTATTATACATTACTCTTATTATTCAATATTCTTATTTCTTCACAATACGTTACTGTAATCTTATAATATACTATTCTTTTGTAAACATGTCTCATTAATTTCATAATACGTGACTGACTTTACCAATTATACAAAAATTATATCATTTGTTTGAGTCACCAACTATGCAACTGTACCCTCCATCATTTCCATTGATTAGTTTTCATAGCTGGTGTTTAATAAATGGAGAATATAAAATATATTGAACATCCGCATTCATGACCAATATGTTTAAAATCAAAATTTAATTATTTTTAGAGTAAACTTATTTATAACATAGTATATGATAAATAATACACAAATCGGTTTATTATCATAGTATTCTAATGTTTGGAGATATTTATGCAAACAAGTTATAAAATTAATGATTTTTTTTATTCTAGAAAAAATATTTTTAAACCTTTTGTTTATATATATATATCAAGATTCGTGAAAGATCGTAACTTATAATTTCAGTATTTTTGTGAATGATCTAATTTCTATGTATATCAAGTGTGGAAATTTCTAATTTTCAGGTATGTACCAGGTCAAGGTAGGTTTAGATATTTAGGACCAAAAGTACCAATAAACCTGAAAAATATTCGGATCTCAAAAAAATACTTCAAACCACAAATAAATACTCAAAATATATCCAAATATCTGAAAATCCTAAATTTGACTTAATCTGGCTTGAAAAACAAAAAATACCCAAAATATATATATTCAGTGGAAATTTTACCTGAAAGCTAAAATTGTAAGTGAAACTTACAAGAATATACATAATACCAAAAACATATATGAAATATTAAAACATATCTAATATGAAAAAAAACACAGACTATCTGCGGGGTTTTAAAAATAGACAGTACGTACTTTTTCATGGATCCAAACCAAACCTATATTACCGGGTTGGTTACGGTCGTGTTTTTCGATCCTGGTAAAATGCCAAGAACTAGAGAAAGTTACATTAAAAATGTACATACAAATTTTCAAATAAACTAATTTTTAAATTATATAATTTTTCAAAAAAAATCTATTTTGATATAATACGATTCACATAAAAATGTACATCAATTCCAAAATACTAATTCATATCAAAATTTCTTTATAGTCTAACAAAAACCCGCGCTTTTTAAGCGCGGGTCAAAATCTAATTACAAACATTAAAATTGGACAATGTAGTTATTTCACTTGTTCATAAGTGTAGTTTTCAAAAAATAAAAAGATGGAGGTAGCTTTCAAAATATTATCTTATCGAAATGTATTTTCCAAATTTTCTCATGTTTCAAGAGATATATTTCTATCATTTGCAAATCAACAGAATCTAATACGCCAGAACAATAGAATATCATGTATATTCTTCAATTTTTATTTTTTTCCAACAAATAAGATATAGTTTTCAAAAAATTAAA